GACGCCCTACTTTCTACACCCTATGGTCGTATGCGCTGAATTAGAGCAGTGAAAAGTGCTATGAAACGTGATGCAAAGCTAGATGCCGAGGACGCCAAACGGATGCACGTTTTTAGCACTGTCTGGTTCAGAGATATGGAAATATTCCCCCAAAGGCTCAAGCCCTGCTGCGGGACCTGTCGGTCGCACGAGCTCGGATATCAGGAGACCGCCGCCTGCCAGGGCCGACTCCGGAAGTTCCTCGGAAGACGGATTTCTCTGTCCAATGGCTGTCGACGAGAATGGCAAATGCACAAGACCACATCCTTGATCCATCCTTGCACACGACCACATGTGCCATTTTGCCATGACTAGTGGCTGGTGGTTTGTCTAGTGAGATGCTTGAGCAGGCATAAGCACACGCCCGCCCCGCCACGCCCCACTCAGCTAGAGTCAAGGTCAGAAACGTGCTACCAATCTCCACATGCCATTGGTTTGTTCCTGTCAAGCACGTGCCCAGCCCTAAGGTGGTAGATAGTAGTACTAGGACGGTACTGGGTAGGTAAGAAGTCCTACTGAATGAATTGAATCGCCAGATGCGCGCGTGAGACTAAACTGGCACCATTATTTAAGTCGCTGCCGTCTCCCTTCAAATGGATCTCTCCTCTTGCCTTCGTCCTCAGCTTCCTCAGCAAGATCAACCCCAATGGCTTCATCAGTCGCTGCACTTGTCGCCCTGGCCGGTCTGGTCACTGGTGCCACCATCACCACCACGGAGCCTTCTTTGTCTGAGATTCGACAAGCTCAGGCGACGACGGTCCCTCTGACCTGGACCTCCAATGTCACTGGCAAGGCCTACGACCGCTTCTACCAGATCTGGTTGGAGAATGTGGTATGTATTTTCATCTTTCTGGTGTATGTGATTTGAAGCTCACGTTCCCTCTGCAGGACTATGAGAATGCTGCCAACGATACCAACCAGCAATGGCTGGCCAGTAAGGGTATCACCTTGACCAACTACTATGGTACCGGTCATCCTTCGCAGCCCAACTATGTTGCTGCTGCCAGTGGAGACAACTATGGCATGGACAATGGTAAGTCCACTGTCGCTTCTTCAAGTTCTTGATAACAGACGTTAACGATAATATAACGCAGATGATTTCCATGACATCCCCGCCAATGTCTCCACCATTGCCGACCTCCTGAACACCAAAGGCATCTCGTGGGGCGAGTACCAGGAGCATATGCCCTTTCCCGGTTTCCAGGGATACAATTTCTCCAACCAGGTGACTTACGCCAATGACTACATGCGCAAGCATAATCCCCTGGTCTCCTTCGACTCGATCAGCAGTAATGACACCGCTCTGCGCCTGATCAAAAACTTCACGACCTTTTACGACGACCTCAATAACCACGTACTCCCGCAATGGGCCTTTATCACCCCTAGTAAGTCAATCTGTCTTGGGCTATCCGATCCCAAGGAAGCATGCCTAACATCTCCCAACAGACATGACCAACGATGCGCATGACACAAACATCACCTTTGGCTCCCAATGGCTCCGGGGCTTTGTATCCGAGTTGATGAACAACACCTATTTCTGGGACAACACCCTCCTGCTCCTGACCTTCGACGAGACCGAGACCTACGGGGTCCCCTCCAGCGAGGCGTACGCCGAGCGTAACCGCGTGTTCAGCGTCCTGCTCGGCGGTGCCGTCCCCGAGCATCTGATCGGCACCGAGGACGACACCGTCTACACTCACTACTCGACCATCGCCACCGCCTCGGCGAACTGGGGGCTCCCCTCGCTCGGCCGCTGGGATTGCGGCGCCAACATCATCCAGTTCGTGGCCGACAAGGTCGGCTACACCAACTGGGCGGTCGACAACACCCACCTCTTCGTGAATGTCTCCCTGCCCGGCCCCCTCTCCGAGGCCGACTACTCCCAGTACCGGCCCACCTGGCCCATCCCCGCCACCAACGCCTCCTGCTCGGCGGGCTACGGGGTTCTGCCCGCCGTCGTGGACGCCTATCAGGGCCAGGAGCCCACCTACAACTACACCTCGCCGTTCCCCTACGATGCGCCCTATGGGTTGAATGTGGGCACGTCGTACTCGCGGAACGGAACGACCTATGTTTCCGGGGTGAATGCGACTGGTGTGATCGGCGATGACTCCGTGTCGAATTCCACCTCCTCCTCTTCCTCTGCTCCCTCCTCGTCGGCGGTTTTCACGGGTGCGGCTGTTTCGGAAATGAGGGCTTCGGGGGCGGCCTCGGTGGCTGCGGCTGGCTTGGTGGCGCTTTTCGGCTTGTTGTAAAAAGATTTGAAGGATTCGATGACGGAATGGCATGAGCTTTTAATACACGCACAACCTGTTTTGTCTTGATAGTAGTTGAGGATAAATAATTCACATATTAAGCCATGGACAATCCCTCCTTTGTGCATATTATTGGATAATGCAAGTTCCCTCAGGGAAGGCCAACCTTGAGAGGGTCCAAATCGTCACATTCTTCGGTCGCGCTTCTTTAGAAACTATGTACTCGGATTTGGGAGTATATATTCCTCTACAGAAAGTGAATTCTGTCCAAGATAAGAACAGGATGAGAACAAGTTGGACATTTCTCGCAGAAAACCTCATAACTACTCCATTCTAAAAACTGTAAAATGATAAATAGAGATATAGTAGGCTACCTTGGAGAATATTTTATTCAAAGGAAATGAAAGTCCTTAGATATCGAATCAATACCGTGGGAGCGATGAGTTCGTAGTACAAATATGTCAAGATTCAAGGTAATAACAAAAGCCGTAGATCGGAGCACGCCAGACCGACCGCGAATCACCAAGCCCTCTGAGCGCGAATGTATTTCGTCCAGAAGCGCGCGCGCGCTGGGTCATCCACCGTTTTGATCGTCTGCCACTCGCCGCCCAGCTCGAGCAGAGTGTCCGGTTGATCCACGAGACTGAGCCACTCGGCCACACCCTCCGGACGAGAAGACGCACCCTGAAACCCGTTTGGATTACCGTATTTGATGAAATTGGCCCACAGGGTCGAGACCTTGTCGCCGATCACCCGATCCGTCTCCGTCCATGGGCGGAGGTCGTTCGTGATCAGACTGTTGAACGTGTAGGCGAACTCGGCCCCGTGATACGCGCCCCCGACCGGACCCTTCTGGTTGGTGAACCCCGGAACTTTGGGCTGGGAGTGGTCCGGCTGCCAGTTGCGCCACGGGGTGATAGGGTGGGTGAAGTAGTAGCCGTACACCGCGGATTGGGTCTTCTGGTGATACTCCTGCGCCCAGAGGGCGATGTTGTTGCGCGTGTTGTCCCGAGCGGCCTGGTTCCATGTTTCCAACGGACCCTGGCCGGTCTCCTGGTTGCGGAGAGGGTAGAGTTCGTGGAATCGCTCGACGTAGGCGGGGCTACCCTTCCCGTACGTCGAGTTGGGGCCGAGACGACCCTCCACGCAGTCGAGAAAGTCCTCGTAGGTGAAGCGCGGCTCGTTGTAGGTGCCCCCTTCCTCGCTGTTCATGCCCGCCATGACGGGCACGTCGTTGGGCGGCTCACCCGCGTGGATCTCACTCCAGGGCTTGGGGATCACGTAGCCGTCGAGAATAAGGCGGAACAAGGGGGGAGGTCCCCAGTATCGCCGGTCGCGTTTGGTCGAGACTTCGCGTAACTTGTCCAAATCGTCGAAGTTCCGAAACTCGTTGACACTCTTGATGCCGAGCTCGCGGAGAAGTTGCACACCGTCTTCTTCCGCTTCCTGGAGGGTTCGGTAGGACATGGGTCCGTTGGCGAGGGCAGGCTCCTGGAACGAGCGGGGCCCGGATTGCAGGATCACGCCGTGAAGAAGCCCTTTCGCTAAGGGAGAGGACAGGAGAGTGTGGCTCATTGCATTTCCAGCCGACTGGCCGCCGACGGTGACCTGGTTGGGGTTGCCACCGAAGACGGAGATGTTCGATCGCACCCACTTCAGTACCTCCACCGCGTCCAGCATCCCGACCATCCCGGACGTTCCGGACGGCGACTCGGCGCTGAGTTCGGGATGGGCAAAGTATCCGAAGATCGCTGTTCGCTCTTGGTGTCAGTGGGTGGATTTGCCTGGCACTGGTGCTGAGCGTATCAAGTTGACTTGACTTACACAGTCGGAAGGAGGGCACCACGACGATGACTCCCTTTTGCGCCAGTCCAGTCCCGTCGAAGTTGGGGTCTGCGCTGCCGCCCTCGCGGAATCCACCACCGTGATACCAGACATAAACCGGGTACGGTCTCTTTGTCTCCAGATCATTGCTGGGCTGGTAGACGTTGAGGTACAGGCAGTCTTCCGACTGGGGATGGCCTTTCAAGACATTGGGGTAGCGTGGATCGGGTGGTGCTTGGGGGCACACCGGGCCGAAGGTATCGCATACTCTGACATCGTCCCAGGGAGTAATGGGCTGAGGTGGCTTGAATCGATTGGCTCCAGTAGGAGGGGCCGCGTAGGGAATGCCTTTGTAAATTGTGATCCCAGGGTCAAGAGGGCTGGGAAGTCCCTGAATGAGACCGCCCTCAACCTGGACGGGTGGTAATGTACTGCCCATTTTCGACTGTGACTGACGGTGAAAGAATGACAATCTCTCATTGATGAGAAGCAGGACATATCAAGCCCGGCTTATAATACTGAAAGCTTGTTAGCGTGCTCGGGGATTATTCACCCCTCATTTGATTAGGGTTGCCGGGCGGATCTAATCTCAGCCGAGTCTCGCCTCCGCATTTTCCCCCGCTCTTTCTGTCTGCTTTCCTTCTCCCAACTCATGCTTCGCTGCGCCTCGCTTCCACCCTGGCCGTTTTGACAGATCCCCGTCAGCCATCATGACAGCTCCTACTCGGCAAATTCAGCAGTTCCCACCAGATTCCAGCCAGACCAACCCGCTCCTCTCGTCCGAGCTCCCCCGCAAGCGAAAGCGCGTCAAGACGGGTGAGTCTGATCAGCTGGCGTCTGTAACTGAGACGGTTGTGTGACATTTCCTCGGCCCATCTAGGCTGCCTGACCTGTCGCGCACGCAAGGTGAAGTGCGACGAGACACATCCACTTTGCAACAATTGCCGCAACCTGGATGTGGAGTGTCAATGGGGCCAAGGATCCAGACGACAGGGATGTGAGTCATCTCATCAGCCGTAAGGGGGCATTGGACATGCTCTCGATTGCTCATCCGTCAACCAGCTACTGCATCTCTTTCCGATCAAGCCGGTCGACCCTCCGATCCACAGACCAGAGCCGGGCCCCGTTCTCCCGCGTGCTTTACCTGTCGCTACGCCCGGTCCAGATGCTCCAAGACCCGCCCGTCGTGCACCCGCTGTGCCATCTACGGCCACGAATGCAGTTACCCCGAGACGAATAAGGGACGGTCGCTGACGTCCTCTGCCCAGTCCTTGATGCAAAGACTTCGAAGTAGTCGCTCACCGTCGCCTGCCATCTCCTTGGAAGATGAGTCGAGAACCATTGCTCCTGTCTATGACCGTGCTATGGTATCTCCCCCCGAGCTTCCCAGCGACGAGAGCCGTGTCGGGTTCAGTTATGAAACAATACAGGAGAATCTGGTGATGAACACTGGCTTGCTCAACACATGCAATGGGTTGGATGTGTTTGGTCCTGATACTGTTCACAACGTTTTGTTGCCGACCCGTTCCGACTCAATACTCAACTCCGCTAGTCCCAGTAAGACGCAAGCGGACAGGTCTCATCAACCCGCTCAAATCAATCTGCCTAGCCAGGATCGACTGGAGCGTCTTGCTGTGGCTTTCTTTCTTCACGTTCATGTCTATCGCGCCAATGCGTTTCTCCACCGAGACCGAACGCTCACTGCCATCCGCGATGGAACCTTATCCGCGGCGATTGTCCTCGCTCTCTGTGCTGTTGGGGGGAGATTCTCCTTTCCTCCGGAGTCTGAAGAGACAGTGATGGCCTGGGCAACAGATGCAGGTGTTCAAATCATAGCATCGACGGACGTAAACAGAGACAACATCGCGGCTTCCCTTCTGCTAACCATCTATTATCAACAGGCGGGTCAGTTTGCACGATCCCATCTCTGGTCCGGGATTGCCATTAACCAGGCAATTACCCTCGGCCTGCATCGCGAAGCCCCACTAAGAAATCACACCTTCGTCGAGAGCGAACGCGATCGACGGATATTCTACGCATGTTACGCGATGAGCCGGCTCATATCCAACGGCGCACCGGAGTCGATTCAGTGCCCCTCGTCTCGCATCAGGCTCAAGCTACCGTGCGACGGCTTCAACTACCGGATGGATGTTTCTGTGGAAACACCATACGCCCAGTTGGAGGAGGCCGAGGGGCCCTCAGGGTCAGCTGACACCCACCAATGCGTGGGAGCCATAGGGTTTTGGGTGCGCTTAGTCGGGGTCCGAACTATGACTCGGCGATACTTTCACACCCTCACCGAAAGCCAACAGCAGCAGCAGCAGCAGGAAAGCGACACACGAGCAGTGTCCGGGGGTAACCAAAGATGCCCCATGATATTACCGTCATTAGCACCGTGGAGTCCCAGTTCCCCGTATGCAGCATGCATGGCCAAGCTAGCCGTCATCCGAGAGTCGCTACCTATCAGGTTCCAGCTCTCCCGCGAACGCGTCGCGCAGCTCGCCGAATCTCCCGTCCTCGGCCAAATCGTGCTGTTCTACCTGTGGTGGAACATATGCCACATTGAACTATGCAGCATGGCGTTGACGGGGTACGCGCAATCGTTGGACGAGGATACTCTCGCTGCCGCTCCGGATGGCTGGGTCCAACAGACGCGCCAGAAATGCTTGCGGCATGCGCAGGCTATAACTGATGTGCTGGAACTCCTTGATCGGGAGCTATCGGGGCATCCGCTGACGATCTACGACCATACCATCGCGCATGTAGTTTACCTGTCCCTTCGAGTGCAGTTGGAAGTCGGACTCGTAGAGGATGAGATCCCGTCTCGGTTGAGGAACCGATTTGAGATGATGCTCGCGTTTGTGAAACGAACAAGTACCTATTTCCGATCGGTTCAGCTTGTGGTGAGATTAAGCCTTGCTCATCCTTGATTCCAGTCTGCATCGACCGCCCCTGCTAATGAGTTTATCCGTGCTTTCTAGCTCAAGGAGATGCATCGCATGCTCGCCGACCATGGAGTAGTTCCTTGCAACCCGCACCAGGAGAGCCAGTCGTGAGTTCGCTCTTTGTTTATCGATCCTCACTACCACTTCTCCTGCAAGCACAGACTGAATCCCCTCCTAGTAGAGCCGAAACACCTCCATTACCTTGGTTCCGACGTCAAAAGAGCCTGGATAGCCAAAGGCTTGCAGAGCAAGCAGCTATTGTGAGTAGATCGAAAGATAAGGGAAGCCAATACTATCGTCCTGATACTAATTGACACGCTTTCCCGACGCAGGAAAGTATAGAAATTGACGCGATTCTCCTCGATCTCTTGCCCGACTGCACAACAACGCACGGGACTACCGGCTGGATGCAAAGACTTGAAGTTCGGGACGCTATTCTGTCACAGGTGCGTGAGTCCTAAACACTACACCCTCTATTCTCTGTGCAGACAACTTAAAAATTTCCTTAATTCAGTGCCCCCCTCCAAGTATAGAATGGAACACGATTCCTGGTCTCTGGGCTCCACAACACACCCGTAGCTCATCGCGGGCGGCGAATGGCTTGGATAGCACGAGGATTGACTTGGAACCGGGTGTTAGTATTTGCTCGTGGTGATTGCAAAGGTTTCTCTGGGCAGAGATCTATAGTGTTTTGTCTTGCCGGGAGGTCTCTGGGGTTGCATAAGCTTAGAGCCGTGTGTGTAAAAGACTCGGTGACGAGATAATCTGTTTACAACAAATGCTAGGATAGGAGCGATAACCAAGTGCCATGAGATACATGCTTCATGCGAAATAATGCCGGGGGCATATGACGTCCCCTATAATTTGTTTATTTCATGGAGGCCCAAAAAATAACATTGCAACGATTAGACTGTCACACGTCATCTTCTCCTCGTGGGGAGACCTCTAGAAAACCTTCCCCCCTCTAGTTCCTAGGCGAGCCTCGCCTACGTCCCCCTCGCTTCCCGATCGGGTAAACCCGCCCGATGCCGTGAGAGTAGCGAGCGAGCGAGCATACCGAGCGTCTTCCCCAGCCTAATGCGTATTTGTTTCCGACGTGCCTGTTCATGCGCTCTGCTCTCAGTTACTGGCTTGGGGTCTTTACTACTGCCTTGGTTGAATCTGACTAACTCATTTATCAGCCTATTTGACTCCGAATCAGGTGGATGTCAGTGATACCAAACGAGATCTCCCACATACCACCGTCCATTGACCTATACACCAACCTACACCAACAAAGAACGATGTTAGATCAACCGGCAAATTCTTCCGACAACGAGAAACATGCCGCTACCCAGACGATCACAGCCCCAGAAACCGCGGCGACTTCCACCAGTAACACCGACAGCGACAGCAGCACCCGCCAAGATGCGCCCGTCCAAACGCAGACGAATCTCCTCCCAATGCGCCAGCTTCTGATTGTCTTTTCTGGCCTATCGACTGCGATGCTATGCTCTATGCTCAATCAAACTATGTAGCCCACCCAGACCTCCCCGTCGCTGTCTATGATGTTATTAACAGGAAACATATAGCGTCGCCACCGCCCTCCCTACCCTGGGCGCGGTATTTCACGAAGCCGACATCGTCGCGTGGGTCGGCACCGCCTACCTCCTCACCAGCACCGCCTGTCAGCCCCTGTACGGCCGGCTGAGCGACATCTTCGGTCGGAAGGTGATCCTGCTCGGCTCGTTGGGGTTTTTCCTGTTTGGAAGCGTCTTGTCCGGAGTGTCGCGGGATATGATTATGTTGATTGTTTCGCGTATGTGTTCCATTCTTCTGGAGGCAGAGTCTGGGCTCGAGCTGACACCAACGGGATGTGATGCAGGTGCCATTGCAGGGATTGGCGGGGGCGGGATCGTCACGGTCGTCAGCATCGTCGTATCTGATGTTGTGTCTCTCAAGGATCGGGGCAAGTATCAGGGGATCATCGGCGTGGTGGTCGCCGCGGGGACGGCGATGGGGCCGGTGATTGGGGGCGTATTCACGGAGAAGACGTCGTGGCGGTGGTGTTTTGTATGTACATGTACCCCCTGTCCTGTTTCTTTTCCCTCAATGCGTTCTGGATGTGTTGATATTGTGACATGCTGATCAAGCTGAAATTTTTGATCGATTTCTAGTATATCAGTGTCCCGCTCTCGGCGGTCGCGATCGTGATTGTCGCATTTGCCCTGCCGCTCAGGAAGGTCGAAGGGAATGCGATGGAGAAGATCAAGAAGATTGATGGCTGGGGGAGCTTGGTCAGCTTTGCGGCTTCGATCGCTATTCTGTTGCCGATTTCCTGGTGCGTGGGCTGGCGCTTCTGTAGTAGGCTTTTTTGGGCTGCTTCTAAGCTAACCGGGGTGTGTTTTCTAGGGCTGGAACGCGATATGCCTGGACATCGGCGGCGGTTCTGGCTCCGCTGTTGATTGGAGTCTCGCTCATCGGAGTCTTTATCTTGGTTGAAGTCAAACATGCTAGACTCCCCTTGTAAGTTGCACTTCTACATTCATTGTGGCCTAGACTGGTAGTGTGAACAACAAAAGCTAATCCATCTATCTGCATAGAATCCCATGTGCGTTCCGAAAAGTCCCCAATTCAACCTTTAACCTCCCCCCCTTTCCAAGTCCCCAAACCAATACTAACAATAAACCACCCCTAGTATCAATGTTCAAGAACACCCACGTAGCCGTGTGCATCACCACATCCTTTCTAACCGGCTTCATGACCTTTGTCAACCTCTACTACGTACTCACTCCCTTTCTTTCCCCACCATTTCTGACCACAAACCTAATTCCTTCTCAAAACGAACAGCTCCCCCAATTCTACCAAGTCGTCCAAGGCGACTCCGCCCTCCGCTCCGGGATCCTCATCCTCCCCCTCGTGCTCTCCCAGATCATCACAAGCTTCACCTCCGGCTTCCTCGTGTCCAAGTACGGGTGCTACCGCATCAATCTGATCGTCGGATACGGGCTGTGGACGATCGCCTCGGGGGTCTTCACGACCATGGACCCGACCACCCCAGCCTGGAAGCTCGTCGTCTACCAGTTGATCACCGGCTTGGGCAGCGGGCAGACCTTGCAGACGACGCTGGTAGCCATCCAGGCAGCCGTGCAGCGGCACGAGATGGCCGTCGTGACGGGCGCACGGAATTACCTGCGCATGATGGGGTCGACGCTGGCCGTGGCGGCGTGTGCGGCGATTGTGAACAATGTTGTTCGGTGGGTTTGATTCTTTTCCCCGCGGATGACTAGTGCTTGAAGTGGTTAAAATGATATGACATGTCTCGGACATACGCTAACCGTGATTCTCTGTGGTACAGTTCGAAACTCACTGACCTGGACTTTGATTCCGCTGTGATATCGTCGATTGTGTCCGACCCGACGACGATTACCTCGATGAGTGGATTGTCCGAGGTGGAGGTAGCGGAGGCGTTGGATGCGTATGGTGAGTTTCTCCTTCCCACACATACCGGTCTGCACGGCACTGACTCGTCCCGACCTCGGTCTGGATGGCTATAGCCAAAGGTGTGCAGGTCACCTACTACATGATGACGGCCTTGGCGGGAGTACAGTTTCTGCTCTGTGTGTTGTTCGTCAAGGATTACTCGTTGGAGCGCGAGGATGATGCCCGCGAGAAGGAGGCGGCGAAAAACTGGCTCCAGGAGCGGAAAAGGAAGCCAGACGGGAAGGGGGGCGTGGCGGGAGGGGTGGCTGGGGTGGAGGAGATCGAGGAGCGGCGGAAGGAGGTTGAAGATAGGGTCTAGAATGCGTCAGTTTTCTCAGTCAAGATGAAGGCTTGGAAGGAGTGAAGTCAAGTTGCGCGTTTCCGTACTGGTGGCTATTAAGGGGAAACTTTAGTGATTGGGCGTTTGTGCGAATTTCCAAGTACCGCGGGACAGTTAGAAGCAATAGACGAAGAGAGTTTCCGACAGGAAATCATGAAAGATCTTATTATTACGCTCACTCGTACCTCCCACCGCGCTGTGCTTTGATGCGCATATTTCCTCGCAAGGTCCGTAGACCGTCTCTTCTCTGTCGTGCGGAACTGCAGAAACCTAAATACAGACTATATATCTCTTTCAATCTATTGATTGGCATAAGAGATGTCCTGTTCACAGAGAATTATTATCCTCCGATCTTCTCTTCAATGTCCCCAGTGTTTAGCTTATGCACTTATTCAGGCATGAGATCAGACATCTCATATCATTGTCTCGTCAGCTGCTATCTGACTAGCTACATCACTTACCATGCTCATGTTCCATACAACTACCATATGCCACCTAGCCAATCTTTCTTCCCTCCTTCTCCTTACCCGGAACAGGTCGAATAATGTTCTTAACTACTGTACTCAACATGTTCAACAGCCTGACTCTTTACACCCCCGCTCTCACCTCCCACGTGATGTTGGTTGACCGCGTCATCTTCTTCGAATACATCAATCTTCGCGCTACGCCATTTGCGCGGATGCAGACCCGAGCTCTCGAACAGGTAATCGATCTCACGAAAGGTGCGACCTTTCGTTTCGGGTAGTCGGAAGATGCACCAGATCCAGATGAGGGCGTTGGTGCCAGCCTGCGATGATACACAAATAAGAAATAAGGTAACAACACAGGATCGTCACGCATGGATCACTCACAAACAGAAATGCGGTCTTGGCACCCAGGTTCCACGAACCACCGGTCAACATCTTCGGGATGAGCACATTGGAGACCAACGAGCTCACATTGAAAGCGACTCGAGCGAGGGAGATCATCTTGGCCCGGAGCTTGCCAGATGGGACTTCGCCCTATTTGCTCCCACATTTTCCACATCAGCACAAGTTACGGGATGGTAGCACAACTGAAAAGATGGGTGACGACTCACCACAATGGTGTACGACGACGGCGCCACCGTAGCAATATAGACCACACTTGAGACCAGCAGCAACGAGCCGACCGCATTCGACACTTGGGTACTCTGCTTGACGCA